GTAACTGTGGATAAAATTTAGCAAAAGAGCACTTGCTTGAAAATAAGCAACTTGATGCGGTAAACTCGAATCAACTTAGAATAGAAGACAAAACCACGAAATCAGCAAAGCCACTTGCCCCCTCCCTCACCCTAATGGCATAGGATTATTGATATTAGACTGGTCTTCATTATGTTCGAAGCCGCTGCCATTATCGTTGAAGCTGCTAGCATTATCTGCAGCAGATTTCACTCGTTCTTTTTACCCCAATCATGCACTGTTGTCATTTCTCCTTTCTCCCGGGCTTCTGTTTCGTCCACCTCTTCGACCAGGACTTCGGCTTCGAGGCCTCCTACCTCTATCACGCTGGTGATGATAATCTCTTTTCCCAGAATCACGTCCACGCACGAAAATTGCTTGCTTGAATGAAAAAATGTGTTGAAATAATCGAAATATACTTAACAAATTGTCCCTGACACTACGAAATTTTACAGGAGTACATGAATTCCCCTCGCTCGACTGATTTGACTTGCGTGTTATAGAGGATTTAGGACATGATTTTCTTCTTTCTAATTAATGGCTTTACTCGAAATTAAAGAAACTTAGTCCTTGTTTGAGCTACACTCTTGTCAAAAAAAAAAAAAAAAAATTTTGAATGGTGTATAAATTAAAGAAACTTAGTCCTTGTTTGAGCTACACTCTTGTCAAAAAAAAAAAAAAAAAATTTTTTTTTAATGGTGTATTGATAAAAAATGTGGTTTAAATAAAAAAATAAATAAAATAAAGCTTCCGATTTGCAAGCAACATTATTTTAATGAAAAATGTGCAGTCGAAATGAAATTAAGTGATTATAGAAGAATGTATTTTGATGAAAATAATGGAGCTGAAGGACTTAGTGTAAGAATCATCATAATGATAAAAGTATAAATCAATTGTTATTTTTAAGGGAGGAGATTTGCCCGTGACCAGTAGCTATAAGAGTTCACGGACAGGCAATCAAAATATCTGCTTAACACCATATGAGAGTTCAGGATTCATTTTGCAAACATCAACACCATGCAATGTATCGTGATGGCAGCTACAAACATTTATGCCAACAAAAATAAGTTCGAAAATAACCAGATATATTCATAAGTCTAAAAACTGCATTTCGGAGTTATAAAACAAGTCAAAAATGAGAAGACAACATAATCAGTCTTTGCTCAAACTGTTTTTTATTATTAAAAACAAGCCTCGTGTATCCCACGATCACCCTACATCGAGATTTATTCGGCTAAAAGTGAGAATCCATCTTCCAAACACGGATCTTCAGCACACAACTCATTCTGATCTAATATGGCTTGACGGGTACACGGAAGTTGGCTCCAGCATATACAGCTTCAGATCCAAGCTCCTCTTCAATTCGCAAAAGCTGTAGGCAACAAAGGACCATCAGATGCCTAGATAATATCGTGCTTAATGCTTCATAGTTTAGTAGAAGGTAAGAATGAGAGCAATGGCCACAGATAATCATAATTTGATTGGGAAAATGTCCTCTTAATTGTTGTTGATGTTCCTTGCACAGTATTAGTCAGCATCGTAGTTTTACATTATTCAACTTCTTTTTTATACATCAAACAAGTCTAACATCCAAAACATGCCACTAATGCATTTGAAAACATGAAAAAGTTACCTGGTTGTACTTTGCAAGACGTTCTGACCGGCATGGAGCTCCAGTCTTAATTTGGCCCTGACAATTTTTTCACAGAAAGGAAATCAGCACTAGAGACTATAAAGGAACACAGCAGATATAACTCTAGTCTCTAGTAGAATCAGATTGTAGAACATTACCGTGGCCAACCCCACGGAGAGATCAGCAATGAAAGTATCCTCTGTCTCTCCACTGCATCCAGCAACAAAAACAATTGTCAAATCATTTACTTTTCACCCGTGCAACTTAGATACCTACCATACAACAAGGTGTAATTTTCGTACCTGCGGTGGCTTGCCATTACACCCCAACCGGCCTGTTTAGACATTTTTACAGCTTCAATACTCTCGGTAACCGATCCAATTTGATTAACCTGTTAATTAAAAGAAAAGGCGAAAGCATGTTGTGGTTACATTCTCAGACAAGTTAAGAGAGACAATTAAGCACTTAAGATGCATACAGATATTAGATGATACCTTAAGAAGAAGAGCATTGCAAGACTTCTCCTTGATTGCCTTCTCAACTCTCTGCAAAAAATAAGCAGTACAAATCTTTTAGAGGTACTGTACACAGTAAAATATGCTAAATTGTATTAGCCACAGAAGTTTTCTGAATAAATTCAAGGTAGAGGACCCGTCACCTTGGGATTGGTGACTAAGAGGTCATCTCCCACAATCTGTACTTGAGCACCAATTTCACCAGTAAGCTTGGCGTAATGCTCCCAGTCATCTTGGTCAAATGGATCTTCAATAGATACAATTGGGTAACCAGACACGAATGATTTGTACAGATCTTTGAGCTGGTCACCTGAGATCTTTTGTGAGCCATTATTGTTCTGCAAAAGCACAGGCAAAAGCAATAAAACTGAAATGTCAAATACAATCTTAGTAGTTATGAAGCACCTATTATGCATACAGACACAACCCACAGTACGTGCTTTCTTGAGTATCCTCTCCTCGCTTAAGACATTATTCAAGAATGCAGTCAAATGGAGCTAAGCAAGTTACACAGAGTAAGAACTTGCCTCTTCTTTGAAGTTCAAGTCGTAAGTCTTGTCAGATCCATAAAACTCAGACGCAGCAACGTCCATTCCGATGACAACCTGTACATAACGAAATTGAAGCTCCAACCCCCATCCTCTTGCTGATTAAAGAATGAAGCCAAGAAGGTTTGGAAGACTCACTTTTCCGGTGTAACCTGCTTTTTCAATGGCTGTTTTGAGCAGTTCAAGACCCTCCTTGTTCTCCTGCAGTCAATTAAAGATAACAGAAACTGAATATTATATAAGAACCTCGAGGAAAAAGTTTGTTCAACGTAACACACCGTTCAACCTGAATGTTAGGAGCAAAGCCACCCTCATCCCCTACATTGGTGGCATCTTGGCCATATTTCTTTTTAATGACAGCCTGAAATCAAAGAAAACAAATTCCTAAAAGTCAAGACCTCGCGGATGCGACAGAAACTCATTGACACTAAACTTATAGACATATAGAAACTGCAATTTGGGACAGCCTGAAATCAAAGAAAACCAATTTCTAAAAGTTAGACATCACATATACAAGAGAAACTCTTTGAACCTAATCTTATAGACATAAAGAAAAGTGCATATTGGAAACGTTATGCAAGGGAAACTCTTTGACACTAAGCTGGATATAATAGAAAAGTGAAAATTGGGAATATCTATTCCAAGATCAGCAATAGGCCTAGCAGGATTCACTTCGCATTTCATATTAATACTGAAATACAATTGATGTAAAACTCAATTCAGCACCGGCCATGGACCTAATAATCTAGGACCACTGAAATTCTGTGTCATACGGAGGTATAAAAATGCAAGCAAATAAACTATTGTAGAACTTTCTTATATCCTCAAACCATAGAGTGATCCCTAGAAAAACCCCTTTTAGCACTAGCTGCATGCCAGATAACTTAAAGGAGATAGAAACTCATATAACTCCATTGAAATGGAGGTATAAAAAGGCAACAAAGCAATTGTAGAATTGTTTACATTCTCAAACTATAGAATATTCCCTAATTATGCATTTTGATCATAGATATATGCAGGCTATAGCTATCTTTTACATTAAATTCAGAATAGATACGAACATTGACTACAATTTTTGATAAATAAACAGGTAAATGAATGAAGAGAGAACTGAAACATCATCACACACCTTCAAATGGTGATATACTTCAACACCCATCTTCATGGCCTCCTTGAAAGAGGAAGCTCCAACTGGAAGAATCATAAATTCCTGCCATACAAATTGATGAGAAACTCAAATTATAAGAAATATCAGCAAACCCATGTAAATCTGCAAAAGACATACCTGCATAGCAAGTTTGTTGCCAGCATGTGATCCACCATTGATAACATTGAAGGCAGGAACAGGCAACACCAGCTTCTTGTTACCAGCAAGGTTAGCAATGTGCTGTATCAAGAAATTTGCATACTGATGTCATAAGATAGATCCACTACCATAGTAAGTATGAAAAACAATGTAGATGACCCTAGCAATCTAAGAAACTCTCGTGCAGGTTTTACACTGTTTGACCAATTCAGGGGATCAGTATTTTAACTTTCATGAGAGCGAACCCACCTACTAATAAATTCCCTTATTAGGTGAAAAAATAGTTGGCTGCAGTAAAATGAACTGCAACATACCTTATATAGGGGAATATTAAGAACGGCAGCTCCCGCTTTGCATACGGCAAGAGACACAGCCAGAATGGCATTTGCACCAAGCTGAAAAGGCCANCAATACCACAAAAGGAGAGAAGAAAGAAAAAAGAAAAAAGTACGTGAATAGATCTTACCAGTGGATGCACCACTAGGGACAGCGGCTCTGGCCCAGAGCTTATTCGATAGATGTACATCGACCTACACTTAAAATCAACCAATCAAACATTGCAGAAAAAACTCGCCTCCAGTTTTGCTCATTATCTCAACACCATTAAGCCAGATTAGAAGTGTCATAATCATTATTATAAAAATCTAAATACTGACAAAACCAAGATACAGGCAAAGCAAATCCAAGATTACTGAAAAAGTAAGATTGTAAAAAAAAAAAAAAAAAAGGGAATTGAATGATCAGCGAGAAGGAGGAAATAGATGAAAACAAACCTCAACCGTAGGATTGCCACGGCTGTCGAAGATCTGACGGGCTTTGACAGACGTAATAGTTGCCATTTAGCAGAGAGATTAGCTTCGGATCTATGGGAAAAAAACAGACTGAGGTTTAGAGAGAGCAGTAAAGAAAGAAGTCAGTAGAGTGGAGTAGGTAGATCCCGTTTTTGTAGAAGGTTTAGGCTAATTACGGCCGTTGATTTGCGCGATTTGGGTTTGATTGGGCACCAAGAAATGAAGAAAATGGTTATTCTGCAAATCTATGTGCCCAGACCTCGATCGTGTCAAAAGTACGTGCCAGGCCCCGGTTTAATTCTCATTTCGTAATGGAATTCATGACAGAGAAAGTCAAATATGGTGACTTGATTTAATGGATAACGATCATATTTTTTATTTTTGTAGCCAAAAAATGAAAAACAAACGGGGCCCAAGTAAAATTTAATGCTTGTTTAGTTCGAATTAAATCCAATTTTAATTTAAGTCAAAGTCAAACAATTAATACTAATCATATTTTTCATGGATCCACAACTTTTCAATCACATATTTCAAAAATTTCTATCACAATCAAATAAAAAATGTAATTTTCATCCCCACCAAATACCATTTTAGTAGTGTACAGAACAATTATTATTATTATTATTTTGAATCATTTATTATTATTATTATTTGATATCGTCAAGTTCAGCTTACCAAAATGTTTTAAAAGATCTTTTTTTGTGGCATTCTACGGTAAAATATTTAAATTGTTTTGGTTCACGACCATAGTATCAATCTTCTCTGCACCACATCCTAGCGACATTAATAACTTTAGAGCTCGTAAGGTCAAATGTGAGCTTATTAAATACTCCCAAGATTCTCATATAAGGCGCCGTTTGATTCTCATTTTTCTAATAATGAGAATGAAAAATATAGTTGTTGCGTGATCCACGCAATAGATAGAAAGTTAAATATGGTGATTTGATGTGATGGATAACGATCGTATTTTTCATTTTTGTGGTCAAAGAATGAAAATATGACGAAAGCTGAGTTCTTAATCTTATTTATAAACTAGGTGAAGTAATATACTCTCGACATCTCAATAAACTGGAAGCTATTCTATGATTGTTGTAAGAATCCTAGGCATTGCCAATGGGTTTTAACCACCCTCCAAGGGTGTGTTTGTTTTTAGCATACTATTGCAAGGCAAGCTTTCACTATGAGCAAGTTCCTATTAAACAAGTTTCACGAGATGACGCTTTTTATAACATTGTATAGACATGTCGAATGCATTACAATGGTACGTTGAGGAAGTCTTCTGACTTGGCGAAGGTGAACACTATAGCAAGTTATAACATAATACTTTGAACTTTCAAACAATGGCCAAGGACTAGGATCATTTTGGCTTGAGTACTCTACAGAAGTAAAAATAATGTCATTTCTTTTATTTGTGCAAAACTAAATGATGCGAACCTACGTAGCAACGAACACTACAAAACCTGCAGAAGAATGAAATCGGACCCAAGAAAATTCCAAACAATAAGATTTATGGATTTTGACTAAAAAATGATGGATTAAACAACTCACACAGTCAATAGGATATGTAGACCTTTTAATCACACAATTTAATGAATATAACTTGGAAACTTTAAAGATCGACCCGAAAATTAAATGAACCAAAAAACCAAAGCAATTACAAGAATACTTTGATCTCGTGATTACACAACCCACAAATCTGACTTTGATTGGTGAATACCACGAGAAGTTATCTCGATAAGTTCGATTAATTGTTCGTGAAGAACAAAGCTTTTTGAAACTTCAAGCCTCGAGAGAGAAATCTCCATTTAATTCATAATTCAAGGTTTTAATACAATGAAAAATAGAAGCCTATTTATACTAAAACCTAGGAAATAATTAAAAAGGAATTAAAATTCTAAAACTTAGTTTTAAAAGGAAAACACACCTAAAAGATCACTAATTACCGAACAAAATAGAATCCTACTAGAATTAGGTAAGTCCTGGATTTTGGAAAACCACTGCCGAACTCCTCCATGCGACCGCAATGTTGTGTTGCATGCGGTCGCATGGCTCGCTGGAAATACTTTCGCCAAATCCTTGCACCAACATATGCGACCAAAACTTGGTTTTGGCTATGCGGTCGCATAGCCTTGAATTTCAGCCTTTCGAGTCTTTGCAATTTCCAAGCTACACCAATTAGTTTTGGCTTCCACAACCAACATGAATCTTGCACTTTGGGCTTGTTATCTTCAACATTTGGAACTACATAATCTTGATCAGGTGTTTGCATAATTTTATTGGCTTTGATCAACCCAAATGGCGCCAAACTTAGTTCAAATTCCGACCTTGGCTCCCTATCAAAATGCTTCAATTCCTTGCAAGCTCGAGACGTTTCCCGGATCACATCATTAAATATACACAATGTTTACTACAATCCTTTTTGGTATAGATTCCTTAAATTTATTTTTTCTCGAACTCATTTTCTTCTCAACATTCTTTCAATAATATGATTTTACACGTGAAGTCACCATTTTCTCCTATTTTTTAGCAACGCAATCTTTAAAAATATCACTTTTCGCAATAACTATTTTACAAAAATTTATATCAAACATGTCCTGCATACGAAAATGTAAAAATAGCACATCATGAGTAATAGTTTTCATAGGATAATTGGATGATCTTCCCTAAGAGCTTACATCGACAAGAAGGTTTGACACCTCGATGTCGACTCTTTGCCACATGGGACTGTAGCATGTTCCAAGGGGTTGGGCTGTTCGCCTATTAAAGCGTTAAGTGAGTCGGGTTCAAAAAGTCGTGACACAGTTCGATCCATATACAGTGTGGACGTTAGAGCATTAAGAGGACATTTTCCTAATATGAGAGGATCGGGAAGGACGCACTTCTGATGTAATAATTATTGTGCCCATGGTAAACACTGGCTAGTCGTAATTAATTGATTAATTATGTGAAGAATTTATTAACTGTTTAATTTATAAATAAATAAAAATAAGTGATGAAAGTGTTTTGTACTTATAAGTCCATAGTAACATGTGGTCAAAAATAAAATTTGATTATTTGTAAATATCTATTATGAATTTTGCCAAAATGGAGCTATACGTGATGGGTAAGGTGTTATTTTTTCCAATCGAACAAAATATCAAAATTAAAGATGTGTATAAGGTCTCAAGTGTTGTTACATAATAATAATTGGACACAAAGAGGATTATGGAATACAACGAGCATATTCCTTCCGGTCAAAAACAAGAGACGGACAGGAGAGATATTTTTCCATTTTCACAGTGGTAAAAAGAATCATCTCAAGAATATTCTTATATACCATAAAGCATATTTATTACAATATTATTACAGAAGAGGAAAAAGAAGCACAACATAAAGAAAAAAGAGACCAATAAAGTTTTTTTTTTAAAAAGGGACAGAATAATCATAAATCATTAAAAAAGTCACCCACTTTTTATATTATTTGACGAACAAAAAAATATCATCACAACAACCATTTCAATGCCTTTGGTCTGCTACGCATGATTTTGCTCGTCATAGACTCGTAATGTTCATATATCTTTTTATTCATTTAACTCAAGTTAATATAATGTACAATTGTGAAGAGTAAAACGAATATATATATATATAATATCTCTTTTTTCTTTTTTCTTCTTTGGTGTTATTCAATCCTCATAATCAAAGATTCAAAATAATATAATAATTGACAAGATTTCAATATTTTCTTCTTCTTTGAAATTGTTCGACATCATCCCGTCCAGACACCTTACTAACGTACCATAATAATATAAAAAAATCATTAATATTTTATATTTTTATTAAACAAGTCATAAATTTTAGCCCCTGTATGGTGGTCATTATTTTCATTTTAAAGAGTTTTAAATAGTAATTTTTAAAAAAATGTGTGATTAAAAATAAAAATAAAAATTTTGAATTTACGCATAAAATATTTTATTGTGTAAATGTATAATTAAATGTGATTCTTTAAAAAAAAGTTTTAAAACAATGGAAATAATGTTGTATGCTGACTATTCCTCCACGAGTTGTTCTTTTCAGCGTGTTAAATGTCAACATTGGAAGCTCATTTCACGTGTATCTTCGCTTCTTTAAATTCTCTTTCCCTAAACCCTTTTTGGTAAAAAAAATTTTGAGATTTAATTTTGTGAAAAATATATATATTTTAACATATATATATATATATATGATTAAAAAAAGAATAAAAAATATGAATCTATGTGTAAAATTATTTTATTGTAAAAATGTGTAGTTAAATATGAGCTCAAAGAAAATAAATTTTAGAAAATGAGGAACAAAGAAGAGCAGAATCTTTTTGTGGACTCGATCAAACAAACACATAGAATTAGACATGAGTTCAAATACAATTAGTTGACAATATGTATTCACCATCCATTTTTGAGGACACTTCAACACCCAATACTGATAACTCTCGGATAGAGTATTAAAACGGAAAGGTTCATTAGATAATACGTAAAATCATAATTATAGATACGAGCATTTTCCACAGAAAAAAGGACAAGCTTGCTAGAGCCTCTCTCCGTCCCAACTCGGCTATTCAAAAGTGTATCAATGGACTACATGTTGAACCGAATTTCTGGTATATGCTTTGGTAACGTGTTGAACTTGCAAACGTTGATGAGCGAAATCTTCGTAAAGCTTGTGGGTAAATGGGGAGATATACTACATACAAATCAATGGAAGACCAACCACCTGTCAACTACTGTATTCACCAGATTTTTGGATAAGCTGTAGAAATCAGCTTTCATGAATCTTGCAACATTTACATGAAGATTTCTACTATTTGTCAGTTCAAAACACAATTAATTTTTTTCCTCCACATCATATTATGTAATTCATTATATATATATTTTATATACAAGTAGCAAAATCCTTTCTATAAACCCCTTTCATATGGCAGGGAGGGGGAACTTTGGGGTGAGGGGGTCATAAGGGATGTGGTACACATCTTGATGAGAATTTATATCAACATTCATAGAAATTGTTACTCGACTTTATTCTATTATCATAAACAGCTTTAAAGTTCAAAATGCCTTTATAATCTTGGAAAGAAATGTTCAACGGGTATGTAGATGGAGATCCATACCTAAATACACGATATTTCATCAAATATAAAGAATTAAGACACTAGTTAATTTCAAACAAAACAAGGGCATGATGTACTGCGATAATGTTTCATTTGACACGATGCTAAGCATCTCTCATTTAAGAACTCTGTAGCCCGGCAACTTCAAATGAAAGGGCATAGGGGTGTGGGAGGTTAGACAGAGAAGTAAAACCAAAACATGCCCCTGTTGCAACCGTTGTAGATATAGGGATTTTGAGAATACTCTTTAACGACCAATGGTTAACGAAGGCTTGACAGGTAGTTTAATCAGTTCAACCCCAAAGAGTTGCTTTTGCTAAAACTCAAACAGTTTCTAGAAAACTTGATTCAGATATGAAACTTCAAACTCTTCGACATTTAGAGGGTACACTAGATCAATGAGGATCGACGTTCATTAGCATCTATGTTTCATATGCATCTACACGTGTTCAACTTAACACGGAGACAAAAATGCAAATACAAACATTTTCTATAGAACTGAGAGTAATGTAAGCTTCAATTATACAGTCTGTTGCAGCATTGCACTAGTACAAAGAAACTCCAAATCCATTTAATCACATGACAAAAGCAATGATCTTGCTAACTTGGACTGCTCAAAGATAACAAGCATATCATTCAACACATCAATGCTAACTGTTCATATTCACCTTTTAGGACCAAATGATGTGATTGGATCCAAAGGCCTTGTGCTACCTAAACAATCAATACATGAAAATAAAATGCTTCATCCGTTCCCACCAACATTATTCAAATTATACATTTTTGGATTGCTTATGTTGCATGCACATGATACATTAACAACGGAGTCTAGAAACACATTCAACTACAAATATGGTACTTTGATTGGATTGGGTGTCATAACTAGGACTACAATTGAAAAAATCAACAGGTAAATTATAGAATGCTAAACTACAATGACTAATTATTTGAATGCAAGCGATTCCTTTTGAGAGGCTCAACTTCATATGTTATGAAGAGGAGCACGAGAGTCAGCTGGAATAGGGGAAAGAGGAATATCAGAGCAAAACAGGCAGAGGTAGAAGAAAATTCAGCCAATGGCTTTAACTGACATTCAACTCGAGAGCTGGCGTCAGTTTTGTGAAATCATAAATTGCAAAAGTTAAAATAAGTTAAGTTTTCCCTTCTCACGCTTTTGTTTCTGTTATAACCGAGGGAGTGGGAGGAAGGGCGTGAAAGATTTGTGCAAAACTCTCTTTCTAAGTCCCATTCTCCTCTCCTTCTTTTCACTGTTATCTTGCTGTAATCGTTTTTCATCATTTCAAGTAATATACTGGGCATTGACTTTCCCCCATTTTCTGGTTTCTTACTGTTAATTAATTGAGTTTGGGTGGGAGATGAAGCTCAACCATAACATTATAATGCAAAGCTCAAACCAGAACTATAAAACCAGCAAGCACCAAACACAAATTACTTATTTGGCAGTTGGCACTAACAATTCTTCGGCAGTTGGCACTAACAATTCTTCATTGAAAACTAGAATAATTAAAATGTTTATTGTGAGTAGACTAGCTGCTGAACAGATTACTAAGACGCTGTCCTAATATTACCTAAGCCAGGTCGTACTACCATGGTATCCAACATATGGTAAAACATAAGTGAATACAACTGTGTTGTTCCTAATAATGGTAAACAGAAAGCAGATAGTTACAATCATCATTTTAGACTTTGAAAAGTTTCTCATAGCTAGCAACCCAACTCCAAATATCAGTCTCGTTTATTAGACAGCACGCATAAAAACCCTTTATGGTATGTACTTAAAGTCGCACTAAATAAAAAAGACAGGCAAACAATTTTATGCACAAGCACAGCTAACCTGAATGTACATATATGAGTAAACACTAAGCTGTACGTCTAAATATCTTTCACCATATCGATACAATCACAATAACCATTTTACAAAACACAAAGACTTTCAGAATTTGAAAAGAGTGATCTATAAATTACCCACATACAAAACTCATATTCAGACCATTCATAATCAACCTTAGCCATATTTTCCAAATCAAATACTCATAAACACCTAAAACATGTATACACAAATGCCAAAAAACTAATTGTTGTCTGCATTTATATAGCTATTTCTGCAAGGACACTTCAACTACACGGTGAAATAAACATAACTTTTTCTAGTGAATGAGTTAATGAATCTATCTAAGAGGAGCTTAGTTCTATTCAACATCCATCAAGGCGAGGGGAATGACTCCGGTCATTATGTAATCAACAAACCAAATAGCTTTCACTTAAACCATAAATTTCCAGCGCAGAGGCAACATAGCCCATGGATTTCATCTGAATGTCTATAAAACCTACCACATTTATTCATAGATATAGATACCATTCTCATCCTCGTCATAATCTACAAAACTCAACTTGAAAAGTTCAAATAAACATAGAAAGAAAAAAAGTTACCCCTCAAAGGGCTTTAAGCATATCTTCAGCACTGCTAACATTAAAGGCGCCACCCTCCTCCAAATTCAAGATTTTCACAACCCCATCTTCCACATACATAGCATACCTCCTGGATCTGACTCCCAGTCCTATAGGCTTATCGCTCAAATCCAGCTCGCAACCAATAGCCTTGGTAAAATCGCCATTCCCATCACTCAACAACAACACCTCATCACCAATATTCAGGTCCTTCTTCCAGGCTTTCATCACAAACGCATCATTAACAGAAATGCACGCAATTGTATCCATCCCCTTGGCCTTTAACTCTCCGGCCTTTTCCACGAATCCCGGGAGATGTTTCTGGGAACAAGTGGGAGTAAACGCCCCCGGAACCGCAAAGAGAATAGCTTTTTTATTGGTAGTCAGCTCAGACACAGATACTGTTTTAAGCTCGTCAGAAGAGTCGAAATAGGAGAGGGTAGCGTCCGGAAGCTTGTCCCCGGAGGAGATGGTGGCGGAGATTTTTGGTGCTCCGGTGGTGGAGAAATTCAAGGGTTTTGAGTGGTGGAATTTAAGGGGAAATGGGGTAAAAGAGGCGGAAGAGGAGAATATGGAATTGGTTTTTTTGTGTGGAGCGAGAAGAGAGATGGGTTGCTTTATTTTAGGGGAGGAAAGGAGTTTTGCGAGGGCAAATGAAGCACTTGTTGCTGCAGCCGCCATTGCCATCGCTGCAATTTCTTCTCCGTGTGTGTGAAGTGTAGAAGGGTGTGTCCGTGTGTGCGTATTTTAGGGATGAATTTTGGAATTTTATATGGTGCTGGGATTTGTGAGGATGAAACAAGGGCGACGTTTCACGGTAACGGAATTTCTTCAAGGAGGACAGAATCTGTGAGACGTGATAGAAAAATGGCCTGATTAAATTTTTTTCCTTTTTTCTTCTCCTTTTCCATTAAGATGTTTGGCTAAATTTGAATAATTTATTTATATAAAGGCCGGTCTAACAAGACTTTTGAAAAGTTTTTTTAGGTCAAAAAGCTGCATTTGTGTATGTTTAGGCAATTTTTAGGAAGTACTTTTTTCTGATTAAGCTTATTTGTAGTCGTTCACTGCGACAATCGCTCTACGTGATATACACATGGCAGGTGATTATTTGATGCATTAATGAATTAAAAAACTATCATATTAATGCATCAAATAATCACCTATCATGTGTATGCCACGTAGAGCGACTGTCGCAACGAGCGACTACGAATAGCATACTCTTATTTTAAGGGGGAAAATGAATTTTTGAATGAATATTTCTTCTTGTCCATGTTGGTTGACGTGTTGCTATACAGAATGAGCTGACAAGGAGATATTTAAAAATGTTAAAAATTTCATTTGGCCGCCATTGGAAAAACGAGTCCACCGAGCCATTTGAAAAGGGTCCAAATACAAAATCATTTTACTCTCAGCGGCAAAACAAACTCTCTTCCCCAAATTTCGCCCCAAAAATTTTCACTACAATCGTCCGACCTTTGCTCCGGCGCTGCCATCTTTTTCTTGAGTTAATCTAAGAGATGATGGACAAAGGTAATGGGTAGTTTGTAATTATGTCCAAAATGCAATGTGTTAATACGCCCACCTTATTTTCCTGTTTGTTATTTGAACTATTCCTACAGTAAATTTTTCTGATACACACTAATGTGTTTGTCAGGCTCGGTTGGGTCTTGCTTTGTTTGTGTGAATTTGCATAAAACCTAAAAATAACGATTTGCCCAACTCTGAAGGACGGAAATGGTGCCTTTTTTCTTTGTACAGTGTAGATGCATAACTAAATTTTTCGTGATAAATGTTGATTTTGATTCATCACTTCGCGTTGGTTATCTTGAGTTGTTGATGCTTAGAAATAGATTCATACCCACCACTTGTCTCTTGTGCCCAAAATGTTTTATATAACTTGGAATGAGTGTATTCTATCAATTAGAGATCACAGCATTAGCATTAACATTGTATCTGATTTTTGGTGCAGGGTAAGATATTTTGGACGATGTGGATGACATTATTTTGGTAGAATCTGAGTTTGAGAGTGTGAAATTATTGGATGATGAAATCATAGAAAAAGATGGTGCGCGAGTGCCGGAGGTCGGTATATTGGAGGAACCCAATGATTGCATCACACCATGGAGTTAGGCACAAAATTTATCTAGTTGTGATATGTAGATGTAGTATAAATTAAGTGTTGGCTGGAATTGTAGTTGTAAACTTCACAAAAATGCTGCATGTATGCATCTTCAAGCTGATTTTTCTTGCGCTGTGTTCACCAAATATTCGGTTGAAGTTTCATGTCTTTATTACAACTTTAATGATGTTATGCTGTTGATATATGCATTTGAATCTTGATATACAACTGTGAGGGATTCGTTCTTCTAGAATTAACGATCATTTCACCAATAAAACAGAGGTTATGCTGCCCAAATATTCCCATCCACAATAGACAATAAACTACCATTTCATAAGTGAAATTACATTAACATTTACTGCAAAAGTTCACAAGTGTTATACATCAACATTTCATAAAATTGAAATTACATTAACATTTGACAACATCTTAGACAAACAAAGTCACATTCCGCATTTGCATTTGCATTTACAAATCATGCCAGCCCCTTTTTGATATTGGTTTCTTCAATAATGCTACATAGCCACATAGTTTGACACAAAACTTGACACAATGAGGTGGAAAATGCAAAAATAATAATAATAATAATAAAATTAAAGAGAAAGAAAAAAACTGGCGCCACTGAAAATTGGGTGAAATTTGAAATTTTTAAACGTGCCTTTGACCCGATCCAAGCCCATTTCATCTCCAATTCAGATTTTCAGATCCCCTTTTCAGCTCATTTGGCTCTCTCATCTTGCCCTAAATGCTTCTACCCGGCGATTCTGAAAATACCGTTAAAGGGAACGCTCGTCATTTTACCAAATGAGCTCTCCATTTCAAATTCTCAGATCCCCTTAGCCGCTCATTTGACTCTGAAATCTTTCCCTAAATGCTTCTACTCTACGAATTTGAAAATACCGTCGAAAGCACGCTCGTCATTTTGCCCTAATGTTACTAAGCAGCTATTCAATTGGTACCGATTAGCAGAGAGCTTAGGTGAAACGTCGTCGAAAGCCATGGTTTCAATGTTGTCGAAATACTCAGTGTTTCAGTTCTAAGATGGTCAGGCACTTCTCGTTGATTCGTAGTTGCTACAGCAAATCGTCTTTGACCACATCTAGAGAAAGCTCAAGTATATAAGTATGAAGTCCATGTTTCAATAAATGGGTTGAAATACCTTGTGTACCGCTCTCAAAATGGAAACATGTCCTTCACTAGATAAGAACGAGACATTTTTGGCTGAGGAAGAGGGAGTTAAAGGCTCATTTATTCCTATAATATGCGTATTTAGCTTCCATCTTAAACTGGAATGTTCACGAGTCATTCGGTTACTATCTAGTGAATGTTCATGTTTCCTGCAGATAGAGAGAGATTACTTTATTTGCTTCTGTTAATTCATTTCATGTGTTGACTGAGGGAGTCTGAGATTATCATTTTGTTTGGTGTTTGATCCCCAGGCTAAAATGAGAGGGAAGAATTATGGAGTGTGCCATAATTGTAGATTGAAGGGATATTTTTTTCGTGGAATGCCCGAATAAACGACCTTGCCCATGGTGTAAACATGCGTTTTTGAAGTGCTTCGAGGTGTAGAAGAACGCTGAAAACAAAGGCAAACTGTTCGAAACGTGCAGCGTGAAATGTGGTCATTGGGAGTGGGTGAAATAGAAGGAAACGGGTGCTAAATCGAGTTCAGTTACCAGCACTCAGGATCTGTCTTGCATGTTCGAAACACGATGCCGAATAACTGGTGATCAAGACATGGAGATTGCTATGAACATGACCATACGCAAACGAGGAGAGCATGTCACCAAATGGGAGAAGAATGGACAGTCGTCAGCTTGAGCTAAAGTTTATTCGTTTCGAATGAATTGTAACTCAAATTATGTAAATGAAATATTCTAGATTGTGATATAACTAGTGTTCCAATATTGTTCACTTGAATCTTTTACGTTGTGTGAACCATGTTTAATTGGGAAGTATGGAGCCTATAGTTTTGTTGAAAATTTTGTGATAAGTTCTCGCTGCATAGGCTTACATTGGCGTGAATGTTGTTTTAACTTTTTTGTTGTGGAACTTTCACATGGTTGTCTTGCTAATTGGTGTACAGATGTTATAATTAATTTGTGAGGTTTTTTATACCATTGCATAGAGGAATTGGCAGAATAACCAATAGAAAGTAGAAGAAAGCAAATGCTCGTTGGGTTATGCAATCAAATTGTAGTACTAGGTTCTATGCTTGTGTGAGATCTCCAACTGTTTTGTTAAAAATGTCCATTAGAATATGCTTCCTTTAAATCGCAAGCGTTTCTCCTTTTTCAACGTTTTCTACTGCATATGTATCCCATAATTTTTGCTATGTAGTTCTTTAAAATTGAGTAAAACTAAAATATTTGATGGAATTGACATCCAAAAGCCCAAAAATGTTTATGATGTTCTTGGATGATGTAATTGATAGAAGTAGATGGTGCTTTAATTGATCTTGACTGTATTTGTTCAGGTCGATAGAATAGTCAAGAAACTCAAGCTTTTTTTGCCCTTTTTTTCCTTTCAAGTTACTCTTAATTATCCTTGCCTCCACCAATATTACAAGATTCCAGCCTCATTCCTACACTATATCCACATCCCACAAATTGTGGAGAATTCACGTTGCAGGATTGCGGAATGTTCAGCCTCCTTGTTATTTGGATTTGACTAGCCTGGATCTTTCAATCTCACTTATGTTAGGTAACAAGACGATTTTTTTTTGGACGTCCCATTTCATGAAATTTTGGTAAAATTAAACGTTCTTGTGATTTCTGTGTATGGTTTTAGAATATTCAACTGGAGGTAACATCTCGTCTTCAGATTAATATCATAAATTTTTTAGGATATCAAGAAGATACTCTATAAAATACAAAAGCTTAACATAGAAAATTGGCAAAAGCATAAGTAGAAGAAAATTGCTCAAAAATACATGCACAAGTACATTAAAACATAGAAATAACTTGCATCCAGACTTCCCACAAGGAATTAGCGCAAAAACAAGGTTTACAAACCATTCACCCTGCAAACTAAAAGTTCATTCCTAAGTCATACATTAAAATTCTAACATATGCATAGATAAAACTCGAGGAATTGCACGAAGAGAGTGAAGGTCACTTGATTAGCCCTCTGCCTTCAACGGAGTGTTGTACATGTTCTTGAGAAGGTCTTGAATTTCGCTGTACATCATTTGGGACGGGTGCATCTTTTGGGTTTGATAATGTGATAGACGGTCCAACTTCCGTAGGTGCATCCGTGTTTCCTCCATCAAAATGCATTCCTAAACCTACATAATGAATATACATAATGAACAATGTTTGCATAGCACTAATAAATATACATAATGAACAATGTTTATTAGACGGTCCAACTTATTCACCTTGCATATTTAATGTAGGAGTTGTTGCCAATGAAGGGTTTAGACACGTGGATTGCAAGTGTTATGTGAAATGAAGATTTTGGTTCCCACCTTGCGTGAAATAGCATTATTAGTAAATACTACATTATCATTGAAATCAAATGATTAACAAATGCTAACCAAAAGGAGGTTCGTATAGGAGAACGGTAGCGACATGTGTAGTTGTTGAGACGACTGGAGAATGGGCGCTGCAACCATTCCCATATCACTTCCAGGAACCTTCGTTTTCTCCCGTTTGGTAGAACCCGTACTTGCCTGCAAAACAAGGAAGGTTGTTAGACATTATCCCTATATTGAGTTTGCAACAACCGGAAATATGCAACATTTGAGTATTACCTTAACTTTGCTCGAAATGGTTTCTAATGGGCTCTTCTTCCGAAGTTTCTTTGGGGCACCTTTTCTTTTCACACATTCTGGATCCCTTATGTTACCGCTTGCAGTATCCTCTAGAGCTCCACATTGGAATGATGTCCGAGTCATATGTGGGGAGAGGACATTACTGTTAGTACGATTTGTTTCCATCATCTCTTGACATTAACTGTCAATCCAATCAATTATTGCATCAAATTTCGCTTCATCTTCTGTTGTCAGATCGGCCAATGTCGCAAAGCGTTGACACATTTTGTCGTACTTCAATTGCCATGGCATACTAATCAAACCATCATAGTTCACTGCTAACCTCGTGTGGGCCCTACTCACATCTCGTCGCCATCTCCGTAATATATATCTTTCGAGTATGGATTTCACATCATTACGGACCAATACTGCGATCATATGTCTACAAATAATCCCTCGAAACTCAAAGTTGTGGCAATTGCAAGTGATTTCACATTTATCTCTTTGAAATGAGACAAAAAAAACTTTTTTTCTTCGAATGCTCGTCATTTATTACATCCTCCCGTACCTCGTACGTTGCCCCCGATAATCCCTCAGAGACAGAAACAAGGTCGCAGTACATTTTACCCGTGAACTCCTCTTGAACTTCCTTAAATTTCGAAATTGTGTAAACTGCTTGAAATTGCTTCTCAATTCCATATCTCGATGCGCATGGTACCATTTGCTAGAACGACTTGAAGTCTGCTTGAAACTCTTTCTCAACCTTATTTCTCAATGTTTGTTTATATTGTTTAACAAATTGCTTCAACGTTGTCTTCGAATGTACATAACCATCAAAAAATACATACATACTCTCACTGCATTGAGTAGTTGACATCCCTATCCAGAATGTGGTTTTTAGATAGCAAGGTACCCAACATTCTCTGTTCTCGTACAAACCCGCTAACCACTCATTCTCATATAAGTGAAACCTTTCTACCATCACTCTCCAACCGTTTTCGAAATCTTCTACAAACTGACAATCGTAGACCAAACTATGTATAGTAGTGAATATAGACCCCTTATCCACATGGTATCCGAACTACTCAGGCAACTTCTTCAATATGTGCCACAAACACCATCTATGCTTTGTATTAGGAAACACAATCTGGATTGCATTTTGCATAGCCCTATCCTGATCCGTAACTATCCCATGCGGAACCTATCCATGCATGCATTGCAGCCAGGTTCGAAAAAGTCAGACAAATGTCTCTGTATCCTCATTCGAGACCAGACCACATCCAAGGAGTGTCGACTGTCCATGGTGGTTCACTCCAACAAAAGGAGCAAATGGCATATCGTACTTATTCGTGAGGTATATGGTGTCAAATGTGACAACATCACCGAACTCTTTATATGCTTGCCTACTCCTATAGTCTGCCCAAAAAACATTCTTTAGACGCAAATCGTCATCCAGATCTATACTAAAGTAAAAGCCCGCGCACTGTGCCTACATTTTAGAGAAGTATGATTGCAGTGCTGATGCGTCCCCTTGTACAAGTCTTAAACGCCTAACTTTCTTAACATAGTTACGACAATCCTTCTCGATGCAACTCAAATTCTTATACCCACCCGCTTCAACAACTGTAGAGTTGAAGCTCTTGTGTAATGGAATTCCTGCCATGTCATTCACTTCGAGTCTTCGTTTAACATGTGCACTCAACTCTCAGTAGCGTCGATACAACCTAGACTTCGAAGGGCTTGTCTTATGATTGTGGTCTAGATGTACCTTGTTAATCTTCCATATTCCACAAACATCTTTGGATGCGCAGATCCTGGCTTTACATCCACTCTGCATGGTTGCTTGCAGTTTCAAAGAACCGCTTGTGTTTTTTATTCTTTTCCCTTCACGGCTACAAACAAATATAACATTTCTCCATACTCCGTCATCATCCTTTACCGAATTTCGTTTCCTAACCGGGAAACCAATTTCGTATGCATATCTTTTGTACAAATCGAAAATTTCATTCTCATCCTTGAATTTCATACCCGGCTCGGGCACAATCACATCATCTCCAACTAACGTATCATCACCCGCTACATTCATAATATCCACAACATCCTCATTATCGCACTCTACCGGTATAATTTCATCCACATATTCCGAAATTTCTTTCCCTTCATCAAACAAATTATTTAACATGTCAAATAATTTATGTAACTATAATTCAAATAGAAACTAGTCAAATTACGGTGGACTACAATGCAAATAATCGTTTGAAGAAAAGTAGAAAATATAATGGTTCAAATCAAAACGAGAAGAAGCAAAAAATTAAGGAAACTAAAATACAGCAAGAGAATTATATAGAAATGTCCAATGAGCATCTCAGACTTGTGAATCCCCATGGGTTTTCTTCACTAACAATCAAAGTGCAAGGATAACAATTCAGATAAAGCTCATCATTGATGCTCACTCTCGTCTCATATAACCTAATAAAAATTAATAATTTGTAGGAAATGAAAATAATAATAATTGAGTACCGATTGGATCTCGACAAGCTTAATGTATTCTTCAACTCCAGTTTGAAAATTTCAGATAGATAACGCAGTTTATTCTCACGTCATCAATCCATGGGAAAATTAAAACATAGACAGAATTCAAAGGGCAAATTAAAACATAAACAGTCTACCTACTTATATCGCAATGTGAGACCATCTATCAGTAACCAAGTCAAGAAACTGTAAAGAGAGAAAATCACATTACAAATCCCCTAATTCCAAACGGTAAAGAAGGAAACCAATACCTTTTTCGATCATCTCTCGGCTGAAAAATGTTAGGTTCATCTACTTCTAGAGTCTTTTCCCAATGCCAACCCCTTCTTCATTCAATGTAGTACACGCAGACGACGCAATCAACAAGTTAGAATTTTGGATTTACAAAATATGCATAGTAAGTGTCTAATTAACCTAAAATATTAGTCAAATACCTATTGATTAAGATTATTCAAGAATGATGAAATGGGTTTCTCTACCAGCCACTGTAGTTCGATTTCTTTTCCAGCCAAAATAGGTATTTGTCATGCGCCATGTACAGGAGAGAAGGGATGCAGTTGGATCTGGTAACAAGATCGCGCCATTGCAACCGGCTGAGGCCTACAGATCGCGCCACAATAAGGACGAAGAGTTCGAAAGACCTAGACACGGGTTTTAATTCGAAGTGAAAATGACAAAATGAAACGGGTTTTCGCCGAGATACGGGTTTAACAACTGGGCCGGGTCGATTTTAACAAGTGGGCCGATTTTAAAATTTTCAAATTTCACCCAATTTTCAGTGGCGCTAGTTTTTTTCTTTCTCTTTATTATTATTATTTTTTTTTCCATTTTCCACTCATTGTGTCAAGTTTTGTGTCAAACTATGTGGCTATGTAGCATTATTGTGGTTTCTTAGAATTGCTTTTAAGCATGTTGCTGAACGATGTCTCCAGGATATTAGCATCACCGCAAGATGAAGCCCATAGAAACTGCATGGCCTTATTTCCAGATAACACAATATCATAATTTTCCGGATTCGCCCTCGTTTCTCCTCTCACCCCTGGAATAAAGAAAAAAATGAAGTAAATAATTGGAAATGCACAAATACAAGTGGGAGCAGCAAGCATTAGAGAAAAATTGTAAACTCCTCTGATACATTCTCTGCTCTCTAATGATCAGATGTGCATATGACATAGCATGCAAACAAATGGAGAAACATTATTGAAATAAACAATTTCAATTCAATATCATCAAAGATGACAATCCTTCTGTTCCACAAAATACAACCATTAGATTAACTAATTCTCGGGCAATAAATGGCACCATCACTGCACTTGCTAATTGAAATGATAGCAAGAAAATGTGGAGTGTGAGTCATTTAAACTAACGTAAGCAGTAAAGCACAAGAAATCATATTTCAAACCTATTGGGAATCCGCTCCCCCCACAAACGAGTTGAGTCCAACACACCACAAGTGTTATTGAGCGTCATATACTCATTGTATTACAATGGTAAACGAAAACACAAGACAAAAATTTGGCATCATCCTTCCTACCATCGGAAGGTACAGCCACAACATTTCAACTATTCAATATGAAGAAAAATACATGTGAGAACCTTTAAACTAGTTGACTGGTTAAACCGAAACCTGAGCCCATTTGTGTATAATTCCATTCACAGTCAAGATGTTGAAGGCTAGATTTATGAATGCATTGGTCTATCTCTTAACAATTTAAGATTATGATAAAATGGTTAATAACTATCCAAAAAAATACAACTTTTGAATTATTTATAAATCATAAGAAAGTAGAGAAACATTACTCATAATCAAAATGTTCATATAGTAAAATATAATCAAAATTCAAGAAGACGGTGGGTTGCAATTGAAAATTCAGATTTTGGGTTGAAACTGGAAATTCAAAAATCCAAAAATTTGGCAGAGAGTATGTAAATCCACACACAATAACAGCTTCAACATACCCATGTAAATCACGTACCACGCTCACCTAATTTTGGCTGCAGATTTAGCTGGAGAAGACGGTGGTGGGCCGGTGGCGGATTTGAATGACGAAAAAACAACTGAAAGACTTGAGGAAAAAAAATGACCGAACGCCTTCGAGGAGATGGATGAAGATGGGATGGAGAGATGACGGAGTCGCTGGCCTTCGATTCGCCTTTGTTTCGCCGTCGATCGCTTAAGGGTTCATTTGGGATTGGGGAGATACGAATGAGAATTGCAAAATTGGGCTGGATTGCTAGGTTGCCTTAAGCGTTGTTCCTGATTTTTTTTATTTTTTTTTATTTTTTGTCTTTTTCTACCTCATTCTGTCATCCACTTCTGTAACTCAGTAGCAAACTCGTTTTTGAATAGTGTATTGATGAAAAATGTGTGATTAAAAAATAATGAAAAGTTTTGAATTTGCGTATAGTATTATTTTATTGAAAAATGTGTGGTTGAAATGATATCAAAACAATGTAAAAGAATTTATTTTTTTCAAAGAATGAGGATCAAATAAGGGTTAAAATTATTTTTAAGAAAAATTTGGTCATAAGTGATTTTCTCAAGAGAATCTGCTTTTAAAAGCAAAACAGGTCCAAAATGGTAGAGAATGTGACATTGTTGGAGTCAAATTTTACGAGACGATCCGTCACAATCGTAAAAGTATACAACCTGTCCACAAAGAGCACTTAAAAGTTTTTTCTAAACCGTTAGTTTAAATACAATAATGGTAAACTTTTGTTTGGTATGGATTAAAATTAAATTATAATAAAAATTGATAAAATATGTGAATGAAAAATCATAAATTTCATAAAATGTACGATTAAAATTAATTATGGACTGATTAAAAATTTTAATACACACCAAACATATGGTAAATGAACTTTTAAGTAATTAACCTTTATTTCAGAACCATAAATGAACCCCGATTTTGGTCCAAAAGAATCTTCAAAGCACTTTTTTACAAACCCCTAAGATTATCTTTGATTCTCTCTAATTTTCCAAAATAATTGATCTCCAATCTATTTTAAAAATATTTTTATTACAGTGGGAAAAACTAATAAGATAAATAGTAATAAAAGATAAAGCTGTAAGTTTTTGTAAAGAAATAATTCTGAGGAATGTTTTGGAATAATATTTAAATTATAATGTGATTTTAAAAAGATGTAAAATTCATGTATCATTTGTACATTTTAACGCTAGGGTTTCAAGATAATTTTAATTTCCACACGTCGATTGTCCAGTTAGCTTTATATTAGGGATAATTGTTGCAAAAGTTCGAACCTTTAAAATACTAACAAACTTTTTCCAAACCTTAAATTTGTTGTAACTATCACCCTAACCTTTTCAAACGTTACAGGTGAGACTATTTTGGATGGTCTCCATCCAAAATACCGTTAGTTAACCACCAAAATTAAGTTTGATTACAATTTCAACATTTTTAAAGAGGGTAAAATAGTTACTTTATGTATTTGCATATAAAAAAGCAAAAATATATATATATATATATATATATATTGGTAGGCAGCGTCAAAGTTGGGTATTGGTGCAAAGATTGACTACAATTTGGTAGAGTTGGTGGTGGTCGAAATGATGGTGAAGAAGTTGTTTGGAGTTGATTTTTACCCAAAAGAAGTTGTCGGCGATTTGGAGACGGTGGTGGTCAAAATGTAAGTGCCCGGTGGGTGGAGGCGGAGGCAGTGTGGGATGGGATGGGGTTGGTGTTTGGGAAGATGATTCAATTTTTTCCTTTGTTGTATTATTTTGATTGTTTTATATACAAAACATATAAAATAACTATTTTGCCTCTTTAAAGTATTGAAATTGCAATCAAACTTAATTTTGGTGGTTAACTAATGACATCTTGGATGGAAATCACCCAAAAGGATCTCACCCGCAACGTTTGAAAAAGTTAGAAATGACGATTGTAACGAATTAAATGTTTAGGAAAAGTCTGGTAGTGTTTTAAAGGTTTGGAGATTTTTATCTCTTTATATTATTGTAGTGAAGTGATATAGTTGAAAATGGAGAAAAATTATGAATTTTATAAAATGCACAGTTCAAAATGACTTTAAAGAAAAAATATATTTTTTAAATATGCGTAAAATAAGCCTTGAGTATTCTCCACCAAAATTATTCTATCTTGAGAATCTACCAAAACAAAGTTACTTATTTTTAAAATAACTCCTTATGTAATGCAAAATTAACTCTTTAGTTAATAATTGGAAAATAATAACATAGTACCTATACTTAGAAGCAAAAAAATCTATTAAAGTTAATTTATTGTTTGGTACAACTTAAAATTTCAATAAAAATATAAATTAAAGTCAACAATTAATTTTAAGTACAGGACTCCCAACTTTTATATAACTTCTCAATCACATCACACTGACTTTTATCAAAATATACTAAAAAATTGATTTTTTAACTACATCAAATTGGAGCATAATTTACTTCATGTCCCAATAAATTCACAAGAGCGTGTTTGGGTTCGAATTTCTTACTGTAGCAGAATCAAATCACTCAAAATAAAAGGGGAAAAACCTAGTGAAGAGGTTAAGGACGATGAAAATAAAAGTCCCAACAACAGTGGAAAAGCAAAATTGTATGGCTCCGTGGAACAAACTCATGAGGTGTGGACTTCTATTGAGGAGCAGTTGCTTCCTATCACGATAGAAAAATAAAGAAATTTGAAAAATATGTTGATAACCTTCAACAAAGGGACTCGGGCTCTTCAAAAATATTGGAGGGACTCTAAATTATTTGTGACAGCCTCGCTACTAAATTTCAGGCCAAGACAAAGTTTTCCAATTCGCCAATGTTAAAGGACCAAGGTATGAAGGTTTCGTATTGCTATGCTCACTAAACCACCGTATTGTTGTGATTCTCTGATCACGTGAAGAGAAAATAAAAGAGGAAAAACAATTCTATTTCTATTTGAATAGAATTTACAACGGAGTTTACAAACTCTCAACTAAAAAACATCTCAAAAGAGTCTCTCTAATCTCTCTCTTTTTCTCTCTCTTCTCTATCCTATTTTCCTTCCTCTCAAGGGACATATTAATTCTCTTTACGGTAGCTCTATTTATAGAAAAATCTTGGCTACAAACCGTCATAAACTTGTGGCCAAAAACCAATCAAGAATTGCGGCTAGAGAATTTCATTTCAAATTCTCTTCTTGAACAGATTTCTTCTCCACTAAGCAATTGAAGTTGTGGCCGTCAAAAGGTGGAGAGTTTTAATTCAAATTTTCTTCTTCATCCTTCATGCATGCATGTTGGTGGGAATTACTTGTTTATTAAGCAATTGAAATTTCAACAATTTCGGCATGGAAGAATCTTGAATGCGGCTGGAATATATCAATTCTCCCCCTCCAGTCGCATTCAAATCAATTGCTATCGGACAACTAACCCAGCTATGTCTCTGCATAGCTCTAACTTCTCCCTTATAACCACCTTTGTTAACATATCTGTTGGATTCTCATTTGTGTGAATCTTTACTAGTCTCAACAGCTGTTGATCCATCACCTCTCTTATCCAATGATAGCGAATGTCAATGTGCTTTGTTCGAGAGTGATACATTGAGTTCTTACTCAAGTCAAGAGCACTCTGGCTGTCACAATGTACTTTATAATCTTTCTGCTTGATCCCTAATTCTTGGAGAAATCTCTTTAACCACAACATTTCTTTACCTGTGTCCGTCACTGCAATATATTCTGCTTCTGTTGTAGATAAAGCAACACACTTTTGTAGTCTTGACTGTCATGAAACAGCTCCCCCTGCAAAAGTGTAGAGAAATCCTGAAGTAGATTTTCTACTGTCAAGATCTCCCGCCATATCTGAATCTGTATAACCTTCCAAGATTGGATCAGCTCCCCCGTAGCACAGACATATCTTTGATGTACCTCTGAGGTACCTGAGAATCCACTTGACTGCCTTCCAATGTTCTTTTCCAGGATTAGAAAGAAAACGACTCACTATGCCTACTGCATGGGCAATATCTGGCCTTGTACATACCATGGCATACATCAGGCTTCCAACTGCTGAAGAATAAGGTATCAATGACATTTCTTCTATCTCTTTCTTGGATGAGGGGCATGAACTTTTGCTCAACTTGAAGTGGTTTGCTAATGAAGTGTTGACAGGTTTGGCATTATGCATGTTGAATCTCTTGATCACTCGTTCAACATACTTCTCTTGGGATAGCCACAACCTTCTATTCTTCCTATCTCGAGTTATGTGCATTCTCAAAATCTGTTGAGCTGAGCCTAAGTCCTTCATGTCGAAGAACTTGGAGAGTTCCTTCTTCAGCTACCTGATTTTTGTTGCATCTTGTCCAACGATCAGCATGTCCTCTACATACAATAGAAGAGCAACAAAATTGCCATTCGAAAAGTGTTGAATATAAACGCACTGATCCGCAGCTGTTCTTTTATAGCCTTGACTCACCATAAAAGAGTCAAACTTTTTGTACCATTGCCTAGGTGCTTGCTTAAGACCATATAAGCTCTTCTTTAGCTTACAAACGAAGTTTTCTTTCCCTGAAACTTCAAAACCTTCTGGCTGCTCCATATAAATTTCTTCATGTAAATCACCATGAAGAAATGCTGTTTTGACATCCATCTGTTCAAGCTCTAGATTCAGATTGGCTACTAATCCAAGGATAACTCGAATTGAGGCCATTTTTACAACAGGTGAAAAAATCTCATCAAAGTCAACTCCCTTCTTCTGAAGAAATCCTTTGACTACCAAACGGGCTTTATGTTTTACCACCTTTTCACTGCTATCTTTCTTGAACTAGAAAACCCATTTATTCCTTAATGTCTTCTTTCCCTTCGGAAGCTCAACTAACTCATATGTTTGATTTTTCTGCAGTGACTCCATCTTATCCTGCATTGCTTGTATCCACTTGTCTTTGTCCACATGAGTTTGTGCTTCCTGAAAGCTCTCTGGCTCTCCTTCGTCAGTGAGCAAAAGCTACTCTGATTCTGGATATCTCGTTGATGGAATCTGTCCTCGTTCAGATCTTCTTACCTATGGATCGTTGATTTCAGGAGGTGCATCATCATCTGAATGATGTGATGGTCCAACAACTTCTGGTGAAGAGGATTGTGACCCCCCCTGATCAATATCCCCTTCGTCATCCTCCTGTTCTGCTTCCGACATTTCCTCATGCTCATCGTCGTTATCTATAGTGAATTATGTTGGTGCTGGATCTGGAGCAATATTTTGGGCACCAAAATTAGAATTAGGAGATATTGAGGGATTTTC